ATCATAACTACGTTGCTTGATGTCGTTTTGGACATCGGCTGCTATTTTGATATTGTTAGACTGGTAAGGCTTACTATCGAGGCAGGTGTAAATGGTTATGTCCTCAGCAGACGTAGATACCAAGTTGGCAGCTTATGCCATCAGGAAGGTCATTAATGAAAATTAAAAATAGAGTAGGACTAGGATGGAGCCCTAGGTGACATCTGTACAGTATTTACATTAGTCGGACTATTGTCCTCATCTTTGTTGCCATATTTGTCACAACGTTTCGGCCGTTGTACGCTCCGGCCTTCTTCAGGTGGTTGGAATTTCGAACTGAACCCTTTATTTCGATCACTGGGGTAGACTGTTCTAATTCCACGTGCCATGTTTGATGGATGTCAGTTATCAGTTATCTCCTGCTAATTTTCCCTCTGAAAGTTCTCCACTGCCTTAACCAGGAATTGAACTCACCTTCTTTGGGTCTGTCACTGGATCTAACCAACGCCTTTATCCACTGTGCCATGTGTCCTTGAGGACATCTGGGTATGAACTTCTGAGTATTATAAACCTAATGTTTTCAGCATCATTTTTACCAGTGCTCATATTGCAATTTTTGCTGTTATCATTGCATGTCTTTACCAGAGTTCATATTGCAACTTTTGTTATCATTGCTTTTCTCTGGCACTCCTTATTACTGGTTCCCATATTGTATTTATTTCTATGCTTGGTCGGCTCAGGAGATTTTTGTGGCCTAGCATATGTGCTGATTCCTTAAGTTTACGAATTTTCCAATGGTGTTCCCTGTCTATGATCTCAACATGATCCCACAGGGGGCGGTGATCTCCCTTCTCTCTCCATATGTGGTGGTCAGCCACGCCTGATTTTTTTTACTTCCCCTCGCGTTACAGCTTTCTGGTGTTCTTGAAGCCTTACCTTGAGGGGCAGCCTGTCTCTCCTTTATATTTCCTTTCCGCAGCTGCATGGGATAGCAAATACACAGTTTTAGTCATGTTCCTCTCTATGGGGGTCTTTTAATCGTGAGAGATATCTTTAAAAAGTTGTCAATATTTTTGAAATTGTCCTGAAAATATATGGACCGCAGATCAAAATATTTTCTCTGATTTTTTTCACATAAGGCAGGCAGACTGTTTTCTGAGTGTTGTTTTCCTCCTCCTCCTCCTTTAATAAAATACCCGCCTATCCCAGTTTTTTTCCGGCTGCTTTTGGTGTAAATAGGGTAATTTTGCGTTGTAATCGGTTGACTATATATATTTAATTCAATTCCTTATCTAACGTCTTGGAAAAAGATGAGGACAATAGTCCGACTAATGTAAAAAAATTTGAAAAAACCGTTCTGAATATGTGTTAAAAAAAATAAAATGATTTTTGATTTTTAAATTTTTTTCTTTTTTTTTGGTTTTTAAAAAATCTGTCAAATTATTATATGTTTATAAAAAATTATTCCTGATTTATCCATTATACAATTTTTCTTCTTATTATCTTAGATTATAAATTAGCATGATTCAATATTATAAACATGAACATTTTATTTGACATGTTTTCAATTTTTTTAAAATTTCAATGTAATTAATTTTAATGTTTTGAGTATATTGGATAAATTTAATATAGCTATAATTGGCTTTAATCCCATATTTTAAAAATATATTTCATATAAAAATTCAATTACATTTTATATTCAATTTAATTATACTTTTTTTGGATTTGAAAAATATCATCATAACAATTTATTCATCAAATTTTATTTAAATAATGAACACATGTATCAAATGCCTTTATAATGTTTGGTATTTAATATCCTCATCTGATAAAAAATTAAACGATCAAAATTTTGTTTTTAAATTTTCTAGAAATCTCCATCCTTTTAAAAAAATATCATCTATAATTGAAAAAATTCAATTTTTAATTTATGTCAAAAAAAAATTTTTTAGCTTTTCTTCAAGAAACAAATAAATTTTTTTTTTCACCTAGGAATTTCAAATATAATTATATGAAAACAAGGAGAATTCTTTTTATGAATTTTCTGAACGTCCAAAGATTTAAATTTTTTTCAAATAGAAAAAAAAAAAAACTTTTTTTTTAGATAAAAAATGCTAGACTGAATCATCATTAAAACAAAATATTTAATTTTTTTTATTCATTTTTGGTTTTTAATTTACAAATTTATTGATAAATGTATTTTGATTTTGATTTTCAAATTATAAAAAGCATTTTTCATTTTTAAATTTCATGCCCTTTGTCGGTGTGGGAATATCAGCCTTAAGATTTCATTTTTTAAATTTTCAAAATTAAATAATGAATTTATTTGTTAAGTTTAAAAAAATAAAAAAACAAAATGTTCATAATATTATTAAATCCGCCATTCCATAATTAACTGTATAAAAATATTTTACATTTTTATTATATTAAAATGGAAAGATTTCAAACTTTCATTTTCCAAGAAGTTTCTTCAAGCTATGTTTTCATTTCCATTTGTTTTTTTCTGGATAAAAGCTGTTATTATTGATCGTCATAAAAAAAAAACATTGAACCTAAATCCAAAGAAAACCAAAAAACTATTTATGGATAGATTTTATTAAAGACGCAATTTACAATTTAACGAAATTCTTCTGCTGATACTTTAATTTAAAGACTCTTTGATGTTTTAAAAATCTTTATTTTCCTTACAAAAAATTTTTTTATTTCATTTGACAGAAAAATTTTTATCAATTTATAAAATAAAATAAGAATAATATATCAGATGTGAAAAATATTTAATTTAATTTACATTCAAACTTTGAAGAGTTATGAAATTTTAATAGCTAATTAATTAAAAAATATTATGGAAAAACATATGAATAAATAAATTTTTCAACAATGAATCAAATTCAAAATCAATTATTTAAAAAGCACCAAGTATTACTTTATAATAATTTGTATTTAAAACTGACCCCAATTTAAAACACTTTATTTGTTACAATATAAATGTTCTCGTTCAAAATGGAAAATTGTTTTTTAAAATTTAATGTTTAAAATAGAGAATTTTTAATGGAAATAGTTTTATTTGAAAATAATATCATTAATTTTTAAAATTTAAAATTTGAAAATTTTTTTTTTTTAATTTTTTAAACCATTAATTAACAAAACATTTTTTAATATTTTTTTTTCGAGGATGGATTTGAACTTTTTCATTGAAAAAAAATTTTTGTTTTTAAATAAAACAAATAAATAAAAAAAAAAAAAATTTGAAATTTGCATTTTGAATGGATATTATTTTGGAATCTATTTGTAAAAAAAATCCTAATATAAAAATAGTAAAGAAAAACAATTTACAAAAAAATTGGCATTTAAAATTTTATTTTTCAAATTTTTTTTCAAAAGTAATTTTTTTATCTTAATTTTTTTGAAAAAATTTAAGAGCATTTTTAGATTTGTTAGTAGTAAAAAATAAAAAAATTTTTTATTTTTTAAAATTTTATAAAAATAATTATACCTAAAAAAAAAAAAATCTAAAAAAAAAAAAGACATGAAAATGTCAATTTATGGTTTGAAAACTTTGCTTTAAGAAAAGACAATCAAAAATAAAAAAAAGGAAAAAAAATTATATATTAAAATACTCAATGTTTGGAAAGTTAAAAAAAATAAGGGACTAAAAAACATAAAGGAAATTAGATGGAGAGATATCAGAATTGCTTTTAAATCCTGAAAAAGAGCATTGATTTTCAGTATTGCTAATTAATTCAATATATTTTTTTTGAATAAAAAAATTTTTAATTCCAATAAATTAAAATTTTTTGAAAAAACAAACAAATTTATTCAAATTATAAAGATACAAAAATAGAACAAAATTGTAATAATTAATTTTTTTCAAAACCTTTTAAAAAAAAAAATAACGATAAAATAAACATAAAATAAAAATTTTAAATTTGTAAAAAAAAAATTTTTTCTTCAAAAAAAAAAAAAAACAATTTTAATATGACGGTTTCAGTTTTGATAATTTATAATTATTAAATTATTATAAAAATTCATTTTTATTTAAAGTTTTTTTAAAATAGTGCCGTTCATATTTATCTATAAATAATTGCAAGGATTTTTGCGTTGAATAAATCGAAAAAAATTTTTCATTTTCTTTCTCCAAAATCAAAAAAAACCATCAAAAAAGTCCAAATAAAATATTGAATTTTTTTTATTAATTAATAATTAAGAATGAAAAAAGTTTCTTTAAAAAAAGTTTTCCTAAAAGATTTTTGTCAACGATAATAAAAAAAAGTTCTTTAATCTTTCAAAATAAAATAAATAAAAAAAAAAAAAAAAAATATTTTTTTTAATCCTTTAAAAAAAGAAAAAGTTAAAATTTACATGAAAAGAAAAAAATTTTAAAAAAAAATTTTGATTAATGAATAGAATTTTTTTTTCATTGTTTGAAAGGAAAAAAAAAAAAAGGTTTAAAAAAAAAAAGGTTTTTTGCTAAAAAATTAAATTTTGAAAAAAAATAAAAGGAAAGAAATAAAAAAAAAAGAAAATAAAAAAAAAAAAAATTCGAAAAAAAAAAAAAAAAAGATAAAGAAAAAGAAAGAAAGAAAGAAAAAAAAAGAAATAAAAAAGAAAATTGAGAAAGAGAAAAAAAAAAAGAAAAAAAAAAAAAGATAATTAGGAAGAAAAAAAAAACGAAAAAGAAATTTAAGAAAAAAAAAAAAAGAAAAGAAAAATAAAGAAAATCATAAAAAAAAATTGAATGGAAGTTTCAAAAAAAATAAATCAAAAAAAAGAAAAGAAAATAAAAAAAAGAAATGTCTAGAAAAAAAAGAAATGATAGAAAAAAAAAGAAAAAAGAAAAAAAAAAAAAAAGAAAAAAAAAAGAAAAAAAAAGAAAAAAAAAAGAAAATAGATGATTTTTCAAAAAAAATTTTTCAAGAAAAGAAAAAAGAAAGAAAGAAAAGAAAAAGAAAAAGAAAAAAAAAAAAAAGAAAGAAAGAAAAAAAAAAAAAAAAAAAATAAAAAAAAAAAAAAAAAAAAAAATTTTAAATAAAGAAAGAGAAAAAAAAGAAAGAAAGAAAAAAAAAGAAAAGAAAAAAAAAAGAAAAAAAAAAAAAAGAAAAAGAAAAAAAAAAAAGAAAAAAAAAAAGAAAAAAATCAAGAAAAAAAAAGAAAAAGAAAAGAAAAAAGAAAGAAAAGAAAAGAAAAATGAAGAAAATGAAAAAAGAAAAGAAAAGAAAGAAAAAAAGAGAGAAAAAAAAGAAAAAGAAAAAAAAGAGAATTCTCTTGTAATGAAAAAAGAAAAGAAAAAAAAAGAAAGAAAAAAAAAGAGAGAAAGAAAGAAAAGAGAAAAAAAAGAAAGAAAGAAAAAAAAAAGAAAAGAAAAGAAAAAAAAAAAAAAAAGAAAAGAAAAAAAAGAGAGAAAAAAAAAGAGAAAGAAAAAAAAAAAGAGAAAAGAAAAAGAAAAAAAAAAAGAAAAAAAAAAAAGAAAGAAAAGAAAAGAGAGAGAAAGAAAAGAAAGAAAAGAAAAGAGAGAGAAAAAAAAAGAGAAAAAATGAAGAGAAAAAGAAAAGAAAGAGAAAGAAAAGAGAGATAAAGAAAAGAGAAAATATAAAGAAAAGAAAGAGAAAGAAAAAGAGAAAAGAAAAAAAAGAAAGAAAAGAAAAGAGAAAAAAAAAAAAAAAAAAAAAAAAAAGAAAAAGAAAAAAAAGAAAAAGAGAAAAGAAAAGAAAAAGAAAAGAAAAGGAAGAGAAAAGAAAGAGGGAAAGAAAGAGAAAAGAAAAGAGGAGGAAAAGAAAAAGAAAGAAAAGAAAAGAGAAAAGAAAAGGAAGAAAAAGGAGAGAAAAAAAGGTTCGTTCTGGCAAAGTTCTTGGTCAACTTTCATCTTTCGTCGATTTAAAACCTGAGAAAGACAAGAAATGATTTAAATAACAAAAATAATTAAAGAAAAATAATACAATGGACCGCAACTCATGGTTTACAGTTTCGTTCCTTAAAATTGGCGCCTCAGTTGAAGGATATGAACAAAAACTAATTTCTTTATTCTCAATTTCCTAACTCATGCATAAACCTATGGATTAGCAACTGTCTTATAAAAGTAGCAACACAGTATTTCGTTTCTGTTCCTCTTTTTATGACAGAACTATTATTTGGAAAAACATTTCAATAAGTATACTGTTCAATACTGAATTATTTTATATCTGACATAATGGCTTCCTTATAGTTTAGTATCGGTGAATGGAATCTCCAGGGAAATTTTGATCGTGAATGGAGAAAATATGAATAACTTCAGGCTGATATATATAAGGAAAAAAAAATAAAAAAAATCAAGAAACTTATTTTTTTTATATTTATGCCTTAATACCGCCTCCCCCAATTTATAATAAAGTCTGATATACAAAAAAAAAAAAAAAAATTAAATTTTCTGGCAAATATGAACCTAGAGCCTACAAAAAAGGACTGTTTTTCCCATGACACCCCTTTTATTTTAACTACCTTCTCACTTTATCAACACTCATTGTTTTAAATGCGATGATTAGAATTGTAATAAAACCTAAATGAAAATGATTTTATACATTTTCTTTGTTTTTGAGAATTGATAAGTAAAACGGTAAAAATAAAAGCTGTATATGGGAAAACCAGCCTTTAGATACTTTTTTTTTGCAAGTATCAAAATAAATATCAAAATATGGTTTTAAAAATCTAAACATTCATGTTGTAGTGTATCTATGTTACAATCCATGTATGAAAGATTGCTAAAAAAAGTTTTTTTTAACCATTTGCGAGATGAAAAAGTTGTAAAATGTAAACATTTCATTAAATTGTTTTTTGTTCGTCTGATTTTAATGTTTGTCATGAGAATTTTGCAAGAAGTTATAACAAAAAAAATCGATCACGTAGTGATATACACAAATAACATACATTAATATGTACACACAATACATCGATACATTCCCCACTCCAGGTACAGTATATTCACCTACATTTGGATGCAGATTCGCCTACACAGATATACAATAATACAAGAAGGGTGGGACAAGAGGCTATGGCCTGGGCATCAAATATAATGTGGAAGGTGCCAATTATTTTAAACCGCTGTACAAATTCAGCCAAAACTCAAGAATGCTGATTTCAGATGTGTCCATTTTTTCATAAGGTCATCAAATTTAATTGCAACCGAACATATGTACAGCGTAGATTTTATATAGATACAAACACGTATGTATTTACAAAGGTCGTTCAAAAAGTTCTAAGCCTGACCCAGAAAGAAGAGCCATGGCAACACACTACCACTTATAAAACTAGAAAAGCTTAATTCAGATTTATGTCTTAATTTCTGTGCAGGTGAAGCCCATACAAAAAGGTGAGAGATGCAACAAAAAAAGGGGGGGGCAAAAAAGGGGGGCAAAAACAAAGGCCTGAGCAGTCAAAGTATCTGCAAAAGTATGACACCCAAGGAAATCTACGAGAACATGGTATAGACACTTGTTGAGGACTTCCCTTTTTCTATGCAATTGTGAAGATATGGGCTGCGGAATTCAAGCGGAGTATGGTTTTGGATGACAGCTATCTACTGGACAGTAGAACGTCTAAGTTCATAGGTAGATGTGTCCCAAGAATGCTGATACCAGAGCAGAAGCTGAAAATTTCCAGGACACTTCTGACTTGCTTCCAGGCTCATCTTGAGAGTTTTCAAATCAAACACTGATCTTCTGGGGCGAAGGAACCAAACAGACAGCGTCTGTTGGCAAGGTGATTGCCTCTGTTATTTTTTTTTTTTTTTTAGTCTATCATGATTACGCATTCAGAATACGGAAAATACCATTAATGCACCAGAATTAAGTACAACTGAAGAAAGCAATCCAGTCAAAACGCAGAGGAAAGCTGATAGCAGGTGTGCTCTTGCCCCCAGGATAAGGCACTCGTTCAACACTGCTCGGGTTGCATTAGCTGAATCAGCCAACTGTGGATTTGAATTGTATCTCTCCCCACTTATTCACCAATCTTGTTTCCTAAATTCAAATCCCACCTACGTGGTCGCCATTTTTGAAACAATGATATGTTTGTTGCGGGGGAGGACCAGGATGCTCTCTTCTTCCATGATGGGAGTTCAATACTTAAGCATCGTTCGACCTAGTGCATTGATGTCAAGGGTGACTATATTGAAAAATAGTGTAAAACTGTCATGTTTCTCAACTTCTATTGGGTGAGGCTTAGAATGTTTTTTAAAGACTCTCGTACGCATGTTCCCCAGCTCTAAACCGTTTCACATGCCCCCTGATAAACACAGGCATGTTTTTTGTTTGTTCAAGTACTTTCAACCATCTCGGTCATTTTCAAGAAATAATGTCCTAGACAGAATTCCTTTGTTTGAATCCTGGTACTCTTTGGAAAGCTGAAAGTTTGAAATAGTCTACTATGGCGTCAGATTTATTACGGTGTTCAGAAAGTAATTACGTATTTCACCGCTAAGAATGAGTCAACCACCAAAGTAGAACTAAGGTTGACTGAAACGAAACTTGATGTAGAATTCAATCGTCTCTTCTATTCGATAAGGGATCGTTTATAGTGGATTTCAAAGATTAACCCCATTAACTTAAGTTATTAAAAAACATTTCTGCTGTGTATGGGAATGCAGTGAAGGCTTGTACAGATCAGCTGTGGTTTAAAAGTTTTAAAATGGCGATTCTGACATATCCTTGTTCTATGAAGAACTTTTGAAAGAGATTATCAAATTACCAGAGATTTGGCGAGAAAATGGATCACGTTCTTAACATTTCAAGAGAATTACGAAAACTTGCGGGAAAGAGAATTTGTATTCCACATGTGCTTTCGCTTGAGAACTAAACACAATGTCCCACCATCTGCGACAATCTTTTTAACCAGGAATGCCAACCTTTAATTTTTGCACCACATTGTTACAGATGATGAAAAGGGGTTTGTGCATATTAACAGAAAACGAAGAGAGAGAGAGAGAGAGAGAGAGAGAGAGAGAGAAAAAAAACAAAAAAACGAAAAAAAACAAACACAGTGGTTATCACAAAATTAAAAACCAATGTCCAGGATTATCCAATGAAGTCCTTGTTTTGCATTTCATCTAGTGGAATATGAAAGATGTTGTTCATTATGGTCTACGGGAGAGGACCTCCATTGCAAATATTTATTGTTAACCGCTTGATCAGCTAAACCAGGGGTCACCAAACTACGGCCCGCGGGCCGGATCCAGCCCCCGAAGCCAGTTCATCTGGCCCGCCGCTTCACTGTGCCACAAACGAGCTAAAATATAATTATATGGAATTATCAATAGATTGTAGTTAAACTTACTATGTAGAAAAATTAAAATAAATGTAAGTAACATGTCAAAATTTAGCCAATCTGATTTTTGAATCTGACAGTAAGTTTTAGGAAAATCAGTGAAATAAAAAATTCGGCAACTTTTTGCCACTTTTGATATCCGAGTACCTGCAATGAAATTTCTAAGAAAAGCGATTACGAGCCTGCTGCAGCAGTTATGTTTTAACTTGCATTGTCTTGTTTAAACCGGTTTGAAGAGTGCCCTATATAAAAAGGACTAACTTCAGCGAATTAGGTCATATATTTTGCCTGCACTTATAAAATCTAAAGTCAGCACATGTAACGAGGTTGACTGATGAACATTAGAAAGTTTGATGCAGCAATACCAAAATAAATATTTTAATTATATCTTAAAAGGCAAACGCCAGTTTTACAAATCTCACTAAACTTTGTGCTGCTTAGTTTGTGAGATTCGGATATGAGTGCACTTGGCAGGATATAAGTATTTTATTGCTATTGTCGCCTTTTTAGATAACTTTAGTAAATAAGTATGTTTTTTGTCTTTATTTGTGCATTCAGTGTATTGTATTAAACAAAATGGTTATCTGGTTCGCGCAGTTATCTGGCCCTCTATGAAAAGATTTAGTGACCCCTGAGCTAAAAGCAGCATTAATAACGAGAGTGTCCTACTTTGGTAAACAAAAACGGTCCAGCATGACAATGAAAGGGTACACACGATGAAACAATCCCAATAACAAATAATATCGTTAGGATGGGAGGTTCTTCTACGTCCTCCATACTCCCAAGATTTAGCACCGACAGATTTTCATCGGTTTCGATCATATTAACATTTCATAAGTGGCAGAATATTTAGAAGTTGAAAACGGTCTTTCACACTTTTTTTCGGTGAAAAACCTAAATTTTATTAAACATTGAATCGGAAATTTGCCTCCCAGTGGGGATAGTGTGTGTGTGTTTTGAACCCATCAAAATAAATATGCAAACAAATGGAGTGAACTCTCACAAATCAAATCATACAGATATGCTCACAAAATATGCAAACCTATATGCATAATCAGATGTATGCACACATATACATACGTTCATACACACACACATATATATATATATATATATATATTTGGATGACACACGTAGATAGTGATATTTATGTTTGCCTCTATATATGTATATACAGCCTGTTCCAGGTATTTGAGAAATGTGCCAAATTTTAATCACATTACTCTTTCAGGTATATCGAGAACATTAACATGACAACTTCTAATCCGACACAGGAAACGGAAGAGGCCAGCCACGCTCGTAACACAATCCGCCAACCACTGCAACTCAGAGGTAGCTAGCTTTCTTATGGCCAGGTGAACAGTAGCAATAAATGTGGTTCAACCACAACTTTATTCCTAAGAATATCAAACTTGTTAAAAAGAAAGAAAAAGAAAAAAAAACAAACTTAGAAAGTTCTTGAGAATGCGGCTATCGATTCTTCACAAAATGTTAACTTACGCCCTAAATTTTTTCAAGTATCACCTTTCTTAAAAGAAATACTCCCTTCCCAG